ACGCTTTCGCGAGAGGTGCGCTGACCTGACCGCTGTTCGAATGCGAGGACTGTTGTTTTTGTTGTTGTTTCTGCTGAGTTCGTCAGTTTTGTCTACGCCGGCGAGGGAGCCCAACATACTAACTCGGCACGGCCCGGCGTGGCACGGCACGGCGCGGCTTTCAAAACGCGCAACAAAGCTCAGTCCATAAATAACGGGCGAGATAAAGGAGAGGAGCTTGTTGTGCATTGTATCGGGGCGCCAAGAACGAAAAGCAAAAACAAAAACGAGAGGCAAACCCTTTTACTTGCTATTCAAGGAAATTTCAGGGCCAGCCGGGTCGCTCTGCTCATACGACCCGCCGCCACCATGCTTCTTCTTCTTCTTCTTCTTCTTCTTCTTCTTCTTCTTCTTCTTCTTCTTCTTCTTCTTCTTCTTCTTCTTCTTCTTCTTCTTCTTCTTCTTCTTCTTCTTCTTCTTCTTCTTCTTCTTCTTGAGGGGAGACGTGTAGCGACGCAGTGATCGCGGGGCGAGTGGCTGTGATCCCTGATAAAAGTGGCGTGGACTGGGCTCTGCATGGCGTCTCCCCCTCCGCCTCCGGTCCGCAAGCTGGATCGTGGATGCAGCTTAGAGACCCCGGAGGGCCCCGGAGCTTGGATCCTTACCTCCGCCCGAGAAGGCGGGGGACTTTGCGTTTCGCGGGGCGTGGCGGGGCGTGGCGGGGCGTCTGAGGACGGCGGGGTCTTAGAGTCTCACTCTAAACGCGGCAATACTTCACTCCGCGCCGAGGCCACCGCGGCTGGGGCCGCGGTTCTCCGATGGATTCCCGTTGCCTGCACTGCCGGATCCGCGGGTGTTAGGCAGCCCCGCCGACCCTGCAGTGAGACCCCGCTCGCCCTCCAACGGCCGCCCGGCCGAGGATTTTGGCGCGTTTTTCTAAAATGGAAATTGGCCAGCACTCTGTCTTGCCCGTTCCGTTTATGGCCATTCCAATATGGACGGACGGCAGCGCGGCGCGGGGGGCGTGGGGCGTGTGGCCCCCTCGGGGGTCGGGTCTCGGTATGAATCCTATCGAGGCCCCGGCGAGGCCCCGCCCAGGCCCCGGCCGCGGTCGGCGGAGCGCCCTGCTCCCGGCGGTGCCCGCGAACAAACGCGACGACGGTCGCCCTGTCTCTCTCGCACTCACGGCGCGATGCACGCAGGTGCGAGGGAGGCGAAGCGTGGGGACGCTGCGCGCGGAATCAGTCCGCCCCGCGCACGCCGCGAGCTCGCCGTCGTACGGCCGTCCCGGCTGTCCCCATTCCGCAAATGGCCCCGTTCCGATGGCCTGCGCATGCGGCTTGCCTTTCGTGCTCTTTCATTTCTACGAGTCAGGCTATTGGCGGTAAATGCTTTTTTCACCTCCACTCCTTCTGGGCTCTCACGCAGTCTTTCAGCTTGAAATTCAAAGTTGATCTCCTATTTTTACGTAATAAAAATTTTAGATATTCAAATGATGCCGAATAAAAGGTATGCGGAATATGAAAAATCATCTGGAATTTTGGTGCCGACCGGTCCAACCGGTCCCTTTGGCTACTGCTGCCTGCTGCACTGCCTCAGCCTAGACAAATGCTATTTTTTTTGGCGTGTTGTGTGTTTTGTTTCTACTGTGCCGCCTGCAAAGGATGCGGTTTGAGAAGCCACCCTACTTGCGCAAGCAGGCTGCCGAACGGAATCAAAGGCCGGACCCTGGCTGGCTGGCTGCCTGCCTGCCTGCCTGCCCGCCCGCAGCGCTCTGCCTGCAGACGCCACTCGTGCTGCACTCTGCGCATTGCGGCCGGCGTCCCTCTTTCATTTCTACGAGTGCACCGCTTGTGGCGTCAACCTCTTTTTTCATCCTCCCCTCCTTCTTCTCTCTCTCTCTCTCTCTCTCTCTCTCTCTCTCTCTCTCTCTCTCTCTCTCTCTTTGGTCAGCGGTCAGACGCACTGGCGGCTCCGAGTTGCCTGCAGCCCTAGAGCCCTGGAGCCCCGTAGTCCTGCAGCCCTGAAGCCCTGCATGTCTGGATTAAAAGGATCCACCGGCCTTCGTGGCCGTGGCCGATGCTCCCCGCCGACCCGGCTTCGTCCTTTCTTGGCTCCGGATTCCTCGGCCGCTCCTACACTTGAATCAAGCAGGCCCGCCAGGCCGAGAGGGACAGCACGTGATTTGAGTGGGCCAGAAGACCGGTGGAGGCGACCAAAACTCTAGACGCGTTTTGAGCTCCAGAGTCGCTGAGCAAGGCTCGGCTATTTAGCGACTCTGAGGCGACCAAAACTCTAGACGCGTTTTGGCCTCCTCCACTAGTCCCCTGTTGCGTTGAAATTCTGGGCCGTGCAAACTTCCAATCCCTACCTTCACCTTCCTTCTGTTTTTGAACCAATGCCCCATCGTTTGACTCACCTAACATTTCCTTTTATTTTTCAGCAGGCTCTTCGAGTGCGCTTCAAATCCATCGTCGTCGTCGTCAGCGGCACTCGGCGAGCCGCGTCGGCTTCGCGGAACTCTACCGAGACAGCCAGCCCGGCGCGCCGCGCGCCTACGGATCGCAGTGTAGGCCACGCGCAGCGCACCACAGCACGGCGGGCCCAGTGGCTGCCTACCTGCTGGGCGCTCAGCGCTCGGCGCTCAGCAACGCATGCTGTTGTTTCTGTCCCACTCCCGGCCCGGCCTGTCCTTTTTATTCGTGCAGTGTCACCCCGATGACGGCGTGCATGGCGTAGCAGTGGCCTAACAGGACTCCGTTAGGAACTGTACGTTGGAATACCCCGGAAATGAACTGCGTTCCGAAGGTCGGATAAAAATTTCCAAAGGCTTCGTTTTCCAAAAATGGAATTTGCCATTCCTACTGGACTAGAAGACCAGGCCAGAAGATCAGTGAAGGTGGCCAATACTCTTGACGCATTTTCAGCTCCTGGGTCGCCCAACAGGACTCTATTCGAACGTGAGACCCCACCAATGGATTCCTCCGTTCTGAGAGCAATCAATTGGTAGGGTCATACGCTCGGTTCGAGTCCCATAACGAATCTGGAGCTCGAATCGCGTCTAGGGTTTTGACCGCCTCCAGCGGTCTTCTGGCCCACTGTGCGTCGCATTGTACGTACGCCAAGGTTTGGCGGCTGCTCACAGTGAGCCCACCGAGGCGCGACGAGGCGCGACGAAGGGGCTCCATGCAGGATCTGCCACTCCCCCTGGCAAGCCTGGCAAGCCTGGCAACACGTGCAGCTGTTTCTTATTAAATGTCGTCTAATGAAGCCACGCTGTCTGGTCCCCGCCACACCGCGCCGCACCACGCCGCGCCACGCCGCACCACGCCGCGCCGCGCCACGCCCCGCCACGCCCCGCCACGCCCCGCCACGCCGCCAGCCGCACCTGCGCCAGGCACTACCAGCCGGCACCGCCACCGCAGATATTTGATTTTAAATTTTAATTTAATTAAAGGCGAGAGCGGACACGACGCGTCGGGGATGAATGTTTCAGGGAATGTCGAGGCACTTGGGGAACTGACATGGTGTCAGCAGGGCATGTGAGCCAAAACACGAGCAGGTGGGCCAGGAGACCGGAGTAGGCGGCCAAAACTCTAGACGCGTTTCGAGCTCCAGAGTCGCTAAACCGAACTCGAGCTGATCGTGTGACCCCACCAATGGGTTCCTCGTTCGGAGAGCAATCCATTGGTGGGGTCACACGTTCGGTTCGAATCCCGTTTAGTGATTCTGGAGCTGAGAACCTGTCCGGGGCTTCGACCGCCTCCACCGGTCTGCTGGCCCACTGTGAGCATCAAGGGGAGCAGGTTCCGACTCGTTGTGGTTGATGATGTTGTTGTAGTCGTTCTTGTAACTGTTGTCGTTTTCGTTCCGCGAAAGCGCCGATTCTGCGCTGTCAAAACGGGAGTCAGATTCGAAGAGGGCCTCACTCCGAGGTTTACAGTGCTGCGACGACGTCGTCTCTCAAGCGGGGGCCCCTCTTCAGCGATTCGAGACGTGCTTCGAGTGGCCCCGTCGGTGACTCGACAACAAAGTCGAGACAAATAGGCGGGCCGTCGGCAACTGCGTTTAAAACTCGCTTTACTGCATTTTTATCGCGGGCCCCGCGTATTTCGCTGGCGGAGCGACCGCCGTCGTCAGTTTGGCAGTGCAGCAGTACTGTTTCACCGCCGCACAGTGGGCCAGAAGACCAGCGCAGGCGGACAAAACTCGAATCGCGTTTTGAGCTCCAGAGTCGCTAAATGGGACTCGAACCGAACGTGTGACCCCACCGATGGATTGCTCTCCGAACGAGGAATCCATCGGTGGGGTCACACGTTCGAATAGAGTCCTGCTTAGTGACTCTGGAGCTCAAAACGCGACCAGAGTTTTGGCCGTCTGAGCCGGTCTTCTGGTCCGTCGGCTGTTGCACCATCGCATCCGTTGCTTCTTGTCTTGCTCGTTGTACGCCCGCCTGATGCTGAAGAAGCGCTTCGTCGCCCTGTCTCACTCGCACCCCTGCGGGACGCTCCGTGAGTGCGACAGAGACAGCGACTGAATGGCTGGGCCGCGCCGTAAGCCTCGTCAGCCGGGCCGCCAAAAGAAGCTACCATGCGTCCCCTAATTCGAAGAGAATGCCGTCCGATGCCGTCCCGCCCCCTTAAGATCGGCGCGTTGGCCCGTCCTAACGAAGTTTACTGCCTCGCTCCGGAATTACTATTACTCTCTGCTTTTAGTTTTTCGACCCGGCAACTTGGGGAAGAAAACGGCAACCTGGGATGACGAGCGCTCGTTCCAACAGTGTCGCAGACGCCATCTTGCGAATCTCGTAGGTTCTGTAGCCCCATGGCAGGCTCTGACAGTCCCTTACCGAATCTATCACGTGTCGTTCATCTTTGTAAACCATGGTTTCTATCGTACAATGTAAGTTGTTTTCTTCTTTCTTTTTTTTCCAAATCATTCTGCGTATGCTTATACCGTGCAAGTTTGTTTATTTGGTGTGCGTAGGTCGGGAAAAGGATATGAAATGAAAAAAAAGGAAATACTGTTACCAGTACAATTTGAACTATTTAATAAGATAATAAGATTACTTTCAAATGCATTCGTCCTAAAATGTTTCTCTACATACAACTCGTATAAAAATAACCTCACCAAAGCCAACACCATGTGGGCCACCGTAGAGAAACAACATTCCACAGGCTGTTCTGATCCACAACACATGCATTGCTGCAGTGTTCCATTCACTGAAAGTAGATTCACAAAGGATGTTATGTCAATCCGAGTTTCAAAAACAAGACTCTAAGACAAATGAGTGGAACGCAACGTCAAAATGCTGGTATTAATTTTCTGCTAGAGTTTTACTAGTTTTATGTGTAAAATACAAAACCTACTCAAACATGGATATCGTTACACAAAAGTAAGTACAATATCGACTGTAGGGAACAGACCCACTGTGAATATAATCACGAGTGCTATATTTAAACGAGGTAATTTAATGATCCCCATACAGCACTTTACAATTGAACATTAAAAATTGACTTGTTTCGACAAGTGGTACACGTCTTATAAGATGTTCACACACAGTTTGAACGACATGAACCGACTTAAATATCCCAAACCGCGTTCCACGAACGCACAACCATCAGCTAAGTTGCCTATTCATCATGCACTGTTGAGCCAATAAAATTGAGATGACGAAAATCCTAGTAAATTATAAGATTCACAATTAAAACAACTTTGAAATAGGAAAACAAGTATGGCTTTTGGATGATATTGTGAAAAGGGCATCAGCTGTTTTTAGTTCTAGCTATGGATGCCATAAATTATGCCGATTTTGAGATGTTTCCAGTCTTATGGCCTGAAAATCACATCGGTTCTTGACGACTGCGCCACGCTTTCGTTCGTTTTAAAATTATTGCTAGAGTTCTTGAAACAGAACAGACAGCGCACAGACGCACTAAAACTGCTTTATCTTTCCGAGAATAGTTAATAACTCAGGACTAAATCGATTTATTTCTCAATTTTCTAGGTATTGCTTTTTAAATCATCAGGTAACAAAACTTTTACGTATGTGAAAACTTAATATCAAAGACTACCTACGCATTCCAACTCATGCATGCCCTATATGTATTTCATAAACAAGAACGACCCCGGTAAACATGAGACGGGTCTACAGGCAATGTGACTTTTGAGTTATTTCCAAATTCGTTCCTAATAAAGTATCAAATTGAACATAAAAAATTACGAATCACTTACAAATAAAATTCTCAAAAAGAGTATTGCTTTCGTTCCGATTTAAATGAGCCTTAAACGTACCAGGTGGGAGACTATACTTTACGAAAAGTACGAGCAACAGGGCGAAAAGCAATTATTTCGGACGATTTTAATTTGTTTACCTTGTTAAGCTGGCGAAGATCCCACTTATCAAACTTTGACCTTACAACCTTTCCGATCCAAACTACTGCTTGCGTCCACAGTAGCTTTCTACCCTATTACTGTATTTTTTTATCAAACCACCTCATGCACAAAGAAAATTTCTTACCAAGTTAACTTCAAAATATGTTGTTATTTACAGGCAATAGCATCGTAATCTGTTCAATTACAAATGAAAAAAAAACTGAATTTATCGATATTCTTATACATTTTCTTAGACCAGTAATGATGTGGCCAAATTACACAAAAGCCTATGGCTAAATTGAGCAGAACCTGTGTCGGCTATTTTTTTTATTAAGTTGTATCTAAATCTAATCAAGAGCTAAAAGAAGAGATAAAAGATGCGAACTTTTTCAGCACTATTAGTTTGCAAGTTAAAAAAACAAAACAAAAGAACGTTTGTTCATGAGATTACGCTTATCCATGACGTTCCAATGAGCCAAGCCCATGTCTGATCTGGGTAAAAATGTCATCTGTATTGTAATGTACTTTTTTACAAATGTATGCACAATGAAGCGTCTGCATGAAGCGCTTCTAATAGCTGTGTTACATAATTGGATAGGTAAAAATATGGAAGTAACGCTAAAATGACTGCTTGAAAGCAAATAAATGCAATTTGTGAATAGATTGAGAACCATTATCTTATAGTCTTCTTGCAACATATCGCCACATGGTACTGTCTTGATTGCTCCGTTACTTAACACATCCCGTGGGAGAATTTAAGTTGAGTGCTAAAGGTTTGGAATCATGATTTATATATTGGTTTGACTATAGAAATCCAAGAGCACATATTATAGTATTATATACACGTAAAATGACTAGCTACATATCACATATTGTGTAGCCATCAGAGTACCAGTTGGCGATCTGTTTTGTTCAGACAGGACGTTTTGCTACTGCATTGGTTCTTGTAGCGCAAGTCTCATCTGCCTTCCAATCATGAGTCAGCACGTTAAAAAAGGGGGAACAAACAGGTAATAAATACGACATACCTAATTACTTATTAAGTACAGCTAAAAATCTCATCAAATTGCACTACTTTCCAATAAGACTACTTCATGTAAAAATAAATAAAGCGATGAACACTTCTTCTGGCTGCCCGCAAGCGGCAACGCTCAGGTAGCCCAGAGAGCGTGCACAAATAGACTAGTTTATGTCACAGCACTGGGGTGGGTGGGCCGAGCCGGCCAAGCCCGTCGTGTCGGATTGGCTGAATTCGGCAGACGATACCGTGTCCATTAGAATCAGTCAGTTATTGGGTTCCTCTTTTAGGCCTTTTTCAATTTGCTGCACTTGACACGCTGAAGAAAGCGTGAAGGAAATTGACAAGCAGTTTCTAGGCACGAAGAGGTCAGGAGATACACGCACAGAGCTTCAGGAAGGGAGGGAGGCAGAGCACTGGCAGAGAAGTACACTATGAAAGAGGGTCAAAAAAGGGAAAATTGGAAAAAACGGTAAGTAGAAAGCTGAATGAATAGAATAGAGTATTAAAGAGAGTCTAAGGCGCAGGCAAACACTACAGCTTAGATCGGCGAGATGGGCCGACTGGTGTCGCTCTCGTCGTCGTCGTCTTTGGAGCACGACGACTCGAGGTGCTTGTTGAGGTAGCTCTTGAGCGCGAAGCTCTTGTGGCAGCGGTGGCAGGAGTAGGACTTGTCCTGCGAGTGGGTCTGCATGTGGGCGCGCAGGTTGGAGCGGTCGGCGAAGGCCTTGCCGCAGTGCGCGCAGCCGTACGGTTTCTCGCCCGTGTGCGAGCGCAGGTGGCCCTGCAGCAGCCAGGGCCGCGAGAAGAGCTTGCCGCACACGCCGCACGCGTGCGTCAGCTGGTGCGTGAGCACGTGCATGGCCAGCGCGGGCATGCTGACGTACGCCTTGCCGCACACGTTGCACTGGCGCGCCGAGCCCGAGTCCAGGCTGCGGTGCGTCTGCTTGTGCCGCGACAGGTTGGAGGACGTGGCGTACCGCTTGCCGCACTCGCCGCACACGTAGCGCCCCTTCTTCAGGGGCTGGTTGTCCTCCTCGTCGTCCGAGACCACCGTCTTCTTCTTGCGGTTGGTGCGCTTGCTGCGGCCGTCCGTGCTGCGCAGCGCGTCGTACGTGTAGATGGCGCGCGGCTGCCCCGCCTTGGGCATCACCACGTTGCAGTTGACGGGCAGCAGCTCCACCTTCCAGTCCATGCCGCGGGGGTTGTCCTCGTCGTCCTTGGCGGCGTCGTCGTCGGCGTGCTCCTCGGCCGCGGCCACCCTGCCCGACGACGCCGTCTGGATGACGGACGTGCCGTTGGCGTTGGGGTTGTTGTTCTCGGCGTCCGACGAGTACTCGGACGTGGGCGGCGTGAGCGGCTGCGTCGTCGGCGACGTGTAGCATGACGACGAGGCCGGCGACGGCGGCTGGTACAGGATCTGCACGCTGCTGTAGGACGGCGTGAGCGGCGGGCTGGGCGACGGCGGCGCGGGGTGCTGCTGCTGCAGCGGCGTGTAGCAGATGATGGTGGGCCGCGAGGGCGGCGGCGACGCGGACGCCGCCGGCAGGTTGGTGTACTCCTGGTGCGGGGCGCCGTCGGCCGCCTCCTCCTCCTGGCCCTGCGGCTCGTAGCGGTAGTGCAGCGTGATCTGGTCGGACGGCGACGACGGCGGCTGGTACGTGGCCACCCCCGGCGGCGCCAGGGGCGGCAGGGAGCGCGACAGCTCCAGCAGGTCGTGCGCCGCCTCCGTCTCCTCCACGGAGCGCATGCGGAAGATGGGGATGCCGCCGTCGCTGGACACCTCCGTGGCGCACGGCTCTTGCGGGGACTCGGTCTGGGACTCCGGCATCAGGTCATGGAGGTAGCCTGCAACAGCAACAAGTAGCGGCCCGTTAGTACGCCGCCGACACACTCGCTCTGTCCTGTGTTCGTGTTCAAACTGCTTGGCAAAACGCGGCTTTCTCTCGATCGCGGTCTCAACTCCTGGCTGCACTGCACTGGGATGCACTCCCTCCTCCAATCCCGAGAAGCAGCGAGATTCCCTGTGATTCCGTCTGCGAATCAGCGCGACCCACCGTGCGACTCGGGAAAAAGTCGTCTTTGTTTTCTTGGCAGCGTGCTGCGCAGTGCCACGCAGTGCCGCGCAGTGCTGCGGCGTTTGGCATGAAAAGGGAGTCCGTTTTTGCGAGTGCGGCGCCAGGCAGTGCCAGGCAGCGCCCCCAGCGGCCGCAAGAAGAACAAGCGGCGAAGCGGTCGCGCGGCTAATCCGCCAGGAGAACCTCGCGCCACCTTTTGTTCGGAGCAGATGGGTGTCAGCAAAAACCGGCAGGGGGTGGGGGTGGAATCGGCAGGAGAGGGGAGGGGATCGCCAGGGGCAGGGGAGAGGATCGGCAGGGGAGGGGAGGGGATCGCCAGGGGCAGGGGAGAGGATCGGCAGGGGAGAGGAGAGGATGCCTGGGATGCAGAAGCATCTTATGAGAAAAGGACGAGGAGGGGGCGGAGAGGAACTGGACAGGATGGAGTAGGAAGGGGACGGGGGTGTCGCCACAGCGATTAGGCATCGTTTCTCGATTAGCGTGTTCTTGTCCCGACCCTCATCAGTCAGTGGCGCAGTGGCCGGCACTCCACGCAGGCGCAGGGAGGGGGGAAGGGGGGGGGGTGAAAGGACAACTGACCGCAGCCATTTCGCTGCCTTAAAGGTATTTGAAAAAGGCCACACTTGCCCCTCTTAGTAGGCAGGTAAACAGTGCTGGTTTGTCTGGCCAACTGTGCGATCCACCACTGGAGCTACGGGGCGCCCGACGACGGCCGAGTAGGCTTGCCCGCAGCGCAGGCCTGCTCGTAGGTTGCCTACGCGCGACGCCGCAGGCGCTCCGTAGGCAATCTGAAGACAATCTCAAGGCGAGGGCCGCTCCCCAAAACACGGCCAACTGAACGCCGGGCCTCCCTGCCGGGGCTGGCCAGGGTTTTGCGGGGGCCTCGCCGGACGAGCCCACGCATTACTTCTCGTCTAATGCGCTCAACGGCCGGGGGCACTATAACAGATTCCAAGTAACATAGCCGCCAGGGACGAGGCCCACTCGTTAGACGCCCCACCGCCCCTCTCTCTCTCTCTCTCTCTCTCTCTCTCTCTCTCTCTCTCTCTCTCTCCCTCTCCCTCTCTCCCTCCCTCTCCGCGCGCGTCTCGGCCGGTTGGCGCTGCTGGGACTCAAAGATAAATTGCCCAATGGTCGGCGCGGTACAGTCCATTCAGGGTCCAGGGGGTCTTGGGCTCCCAGGTGTGTCTGTTACACGGCGCAGTGCTGCGCGCTGCCCGGCTCGGCCTTTTGCGCTGTTTTGACAGCGGCGCGATAGATGGCGGCCCTGGCCGTTTGTAATACACGGCGGACACGGCGGGCTAACAGGTGCGATAGTGTGAGAGAGTGTGTGTGTGTGTGTGTGTGTGAGAGAGAGAGAGAGAGAGAGAGAGAAAAAGAGAGAAAAAGAGAGAGAGAGAGAGAGAGAGAGAGAGAGAGAGAGAGAGAGAGAGAGAGAGAGAGAGAGAGAGAAGGGTTTGTGCCTCCGGCAATTTTCCTCCCTCTCGAGTCGAGTCGACTATACGGCTAGCTGGCTGCACGCATTGCCAAAAAAGGAACGTTTTATTTTTTTTCAATTTTTTTTCAGCAGGTTGGCGGCGGCGGCGCCTGGAAATAACCCAAATAACGCTTTTCCGATTGGCGGCTCGGATCAGAATAACGAACGTGCGGTGGCGGGAGAGAGAGAGAGAGAGAGAGAGAGAGAGAGAAATGACAGGAAACGGAAGCAGACCGATTGTGGGGTATCAGGAAGTCCCCCTGGGGGGGAAAAAGCTGGGGGCCAGGTAGAAATGTAAATCCCCTTCCACATAAGGCGGGGACGTCCCTAATCCCCTGCCTGTATAAATATGGATGCCGGGTGAGCCGCGCCTCACCGCGCCACAGGTTGCAGGCAGCGACTACAACCTCGCTCTACAACCGCAAGGCGCAAGGCGCGCACGGACCGGCAGCGGCACGGCCAGGCGCGGGGGCCGAGCCATGGCGGAGGCCCGGGTCGATGGCGAAATTGGCATCGTTAGGTTTTGGCGGGGAAAACAGAAACGAGGGGAAGGAAGATGAAGAAGAGGAAGCGAGAGGGCGAAGGGGGAGTGGGAAGAGGACGCTCGCTCGGATGGACGGACGGACGGACGGACGGAGGATGAGAGACTGCTTGGTATTCCGGGGCGTAGTCGCCTCGATTAGACCATTTATTTCAGAGAATTGCCGCTGAAGGCCGAAATGAATCAGACTGCCCGACTGTCTGTCCATCTGCCTGTCTGTCTGTCTGTCTGTCCGTCCGCCCGCCCTGGCCTGACCGGGCCGACGCCATTGTAGCCCCATGGTCTTTCTTCTCATTCACACCATCTCCGTCCCGGATCAAATAATCATCAACCCCGTGGCACTGGCGGCGCAGCGGGGCGAGCAGACAGACAGACAGACAGGCAGGCAGACAGACAGACAGGCAGACAGACAGACAGCTCGGGTGGCAGACAGGCAGACAGACGGGCCCAGAGAACACAGGTGGGGTGCGATATCGTCTGGCGCACCCCTGGGGCCATGGCTTGTTCATACCGCCAGGCGGAAATTTCGTAAGTCTGTCTGTCTGTCCGTCCGTCTGTCTGTCCGTCGGCGCTCTCCGCCGCGGCAGCAGAACATGAGGACTCGACTTGTGGTCGTTGGGTGGCACGACTGTGGGAGTTGAGAGCAGTTGGCAGACATGCCGTGTCTCGCTAACTAGCCTGGCTCAAGTTGTGCAATGCAGGTGTGTTCCAGGCCGTCTCGCTCGCACCCACTCCGTGTACCCCGCCCGCACCCCGCCCTCGGCAGGGTGATTCCGCAGCAGTGCGCCCGTCGCTCTGTCTCTCTCGCACTCGCGGGGCGTCCCGTATGGGTGCGAGAGGGACAGAGCGACGGCCGCTCTGCGCGGAATCACCCAGCAGCCTGCTCCACCTGCTAGGCGAGTCCCCAACCCCCTGCAGGATGATGCCGAGGACCGCCTTGGTCGCGCTGTCTCTCCCGCGCCTACACTGGACGCCACATGAGTGCGAGAGAGACAGAGCGAGGACTCTCAGTCTGCTGCCCGGAAAGAAGGCCAGGGCGGCCGTCGCGGGTCGGCCAGTAAATGGAGGGCAGTTCCGAGAAGTTGGGCACCCTTTGAGTTGCGTCTGAACGTGTGCGGGGCGAAAGTCCCCGGCCTGGCGCCCCGGCCTGGCCCTGGCGCCGGCACCGACGGCCACCAACATCAACACGGCCTAACAGGGGTCCACGGTCAAAGGAACCAACTTGACTCGACGCCGTGCCGTGGCGTGCCAAGCCGTGACGCCTCCGCCGTGTTTGCAGGGTGAAGGGGCGGACGAGCAGTGCGAAGCAAAGGCTCCGCAAAAGGTGGCGAAAATTCCGAGAAAAATCGCACACCGCCAGCCGCGGTGCTTTTCATTTCACAAACACAGAGCCAACTATTTACAAATGCGCCGGAGCTTCGGAAAGACGCGAGAATGCATTATCAGCGGGGCGGGGGGTGGGGGAGCCGAGGGGGAGCGCCCCCAAGACTTGTTGTTTCTGCCGCGACCTGCACAAGCAGCCCTTGTACGCAACAAGTAGGGCAAGTAGCAGGTCGTCACCCTGTCGATGCCTGGCGCGGCGTGGCGCGGCGTGGCGCGGCTCTCTCGGCGAGTCATACGGCAACAGTTGATGTGGCTCGGCCGGCCAGCCCCGGCGGACCAACACACGAAACACATTCAAATTTCCCGCCGTGCTTCGCCCGCCACGCCGCGCCACGCCAGGGGTGCCGGGGGCCCCCCGCCGCGCGGCGCCGTCCTTACCGGTCCTTACCAAGGGCCTTGACGCGTGTATTTAACTGCTGCGCAATTTGGGCTCCCCTCCAGCGGCCCGCCGTCGCCCCTCCCCCGGGACTCCTCTTCCTGCCGTCCGATCCCGGAGGATCGCTCCGTCTCTCTCGCTCTGGTGGGGCGCCAGGGCGCTCGGCAGCGAGAGAGACGGAGAGAGGGTCCTTCGGAGTCAGCCTGCCGGCCAGGAGGAGCGCGGCAGCCTGCACCGGCAGCGCCTGGGCTTTCAAGTGAAAGAATTAAGCAGCCTGTTTGCCCCTCTAACGAACGTCTTTTTCGAGCAGCCCTAAGCTCCCCACTCGGGCGTGCCAGCGCCGTGCCAGCGCCCCTACACCCGAAGCCTGCCGGAGTCCGCCGGGGGCCGCGGGGGCTCCAGGGACGCCGAGAAAAGCATCAATGAGGGCATTACACCGATCCCGCTGAGCCAGCAGCAGCAGCGGCGCGCGGCCGCCCCGGTGGGGTCCCTCCGTGGGGTCCCTCCGTGGGGTCCCTCCGTGAAGCCCCCCTCCACTATTACACCCCGAAGACCTCCGGGCCCAAATCGAGCCTAATGAAAAGGCGACGGACAAACTGGGTGGCCGCGGCCGAGGCCCCGCAGACTCATTCCGAGAGTCGTTTTCGTCGCTCTGTCTCTCCCGCACACGCGGTGCTCGTTCCGTCTGGGTGGGAGAGAGACAGAGCGACGAAAACGACCTTCGGAGTGTGTCAGCTGGCCGTGGCGAACTAAGGCAGCAGGCCCGTGGCCGGCCGCTCCACCGCGCCACTACAAGGGGCTACCCCTTCCCCTCCCCCTCCCCCTCCCCCTTCCACTAACCGCGCCCGGCCGTCCGAAGCTATTCCCTCCGCATCAATGCACCCCCCAGGAATTGTTAGAAAAAAAAATGACTCGCGTTGTGTAGCGGGAAAAAAGGCCCCCATCACAACGGGACCGAGACTCGAACCAAGGACGCGGATGGCTGTCCTCCCACCCCCAGCCACGCCCGCCCAAGGGCGTCCTGAATTCTTTCGACGGCCATTCTAATTCCTGACGCATATTGAGGTCGTTAGCAGCCCGGGGGGCAGCGCAGCGCGCGGGGCGGCCGCCAGGACAGCGACGACGACGCACAGTGGGCCAGAAGACCAGTGGAGGCGGTCAAAATCCCGGACGCGTTTTGAGCTCCAGAGTCGCTAAATGGGACTCCAACCGAACGTGTGACCCCATCAATGGACTGCTCTCCGAACGAAGAATCCATTGGTGGGGTCACACGTTCGGTTCGAGTCCCGTTCAGCGACTCTGGAGCTCAAAGCGCGTCTAGAGTTTTGGCCGCCTGCGCCGGTCTTCCGGCCCACTGTGCGAAGCCTTGCTCGTGCGACAAAATGCAGGCTTTAGGACCGTAATCTCGAGTCCTGGAATTAGCGAGCAAGTCGGCCGGGCAGCTGCCGCTTCGCATGCAGGGCGCGGGGGTCTAGGGGTGAGAAAAAAAGGGAGGGGGGTACACTCTAAATGTTCTACAGTGAAGCTTCTCCATATTATGGTGAAAATGTTCCATATTATGGTGGTGCAGCTGACTTCGTAACATACCATCGAGAATTCACTGTACCTTATGGAGATTTTCACGAATTTCGTTGGTATTATGGAGAAAATCTCCACCATATTATGTAGGTGCAGCCTTTCACCGTAAGACATTTACTGTGTAGCCGGGGTCTGTGTGCCTGCCGCGCCTTTCCGTTATTTTTGCAGACGGATAATGAGATGTTTCACAGTGGCACCGCAGGCCCTGCCGCCTGTCGCCTGCGACTCGCCGCCCCTCGTCAAGCTTGTTCCGACTTGGCTATTCAAACAGTGTGCCGCGCGGCAGACTGATTCCGCGAGAGTCTTGTCTTTCGTCGCTCCGTCTCCCTCACACCTGTCCGCGACGCCCCGTGAGTGCGAGAGAGACGGAGCGACGACAACGACTCTCGGAATCAGTCTGCAGGTCGGCGAGTCCGCGCGCCGCGAATGTCAATCGCCTTCTTTCCGACTGCTAATTATTTTCGCCGCACACAATGTCTGCCGTAATTAAGAGGCGCGAGCAGAGACTCACTTTCCAAACAAACCGAGATCATTTTTTCCTCCCGCGAGAACAAGGTGGCAAAAAAGTAGGACGTATTTTGAAGTGGTGAAAATAAAATGGCGGTTTGCGTCGCCGCATTGCCATATCGCGGCGCGCGAGTAGGCCCTACAGCTTTACGGTGGCGTGCCATAACTTTGTCGTACACGCCGTGCGTGTGTGTGTGAGTGTGTGTGCGTGTGTCGTCAAAGTAAATGCTGTCTGACTCTGTGGGTTTACTTTGCCGCGTCAATTTCACGAATCCCGCCCCTCCACGCGCCGCCCCGCCCCGCCCGGCTGAGCTGGTCTCGAAACGCGGCAACCTGATGCTTCCCCGTAGTACCTGGACTGGACGGCGCGGAGGCCGCGGCGCTGCGGGGAGGCGGGCACGGCGGGCACGGCGGGCACGGCGGTCCGCTGGGACGCAGACACGACGGCCAGGGGGGAGACGGGGTCGCCGGGGAGCGACGCGCCCCGCGGAAGCCGCGGTCCGCGGCGTCGACCGACGAGACGATGACTCCCATGTCGAGGTGCGCGCCGAGGACGTCGAGGAACGGGCGTCGCCTTGTGGCAAGACTACTGGCAGGGCAGGCCAGCGCCACGCCGCGCCGCGCCGCCATTGTTGCAACAGGCAGTGCGCTGCCAACCTGCGCGTCAGCGGCGTCAGCCTGCGGCCCTGCGGCTGCCAGCCCTGCCTGCCCGCCTGCGCGCCAGTGCGGCCAACCTGGCGCACCATCCGGCGTGGCTGCCAGCTGCCAGCTCGGTCTGCCCGCCGTCACAGCGGCCGTTCCATCGGTGCATCGGTCACGGGCCGGCGTACCACCGAGTGTGAGAGAGAACCACACCCTGGCGCACCATCCCGCCCTGGCTGCACAGCGGGCCAGAAGACCGGTGGAGGCGGCCGAAACTCTCGACGCGTTTTGAGCTCCAGAGTCGCTAAACAGGACTCGAACGGAGCGTGCGACCCCACCAATGGATTGCTCGTTCGGAGAGCAATCCATTGGTGGGGTCACACGTTCGGTTCGAGTCCCATTTAGCGACTCTGGAGCTCAAAACGCGTCCAGAGTTTCGGCCGCCTCCACCGTTCTGGCCCGGGCTGCCAGCTCGGCCTGCCCGCCTCTCGAGCGACACGGTTCCCTCCAGCGGGCTGGCTGGCTGCTGGCTGGCCGCCTCCGCAAACAGCCCCGAGATACCGCGGCGGATAAGGCGGAGCTACTATTTTCGTTATCAATCAACAAAACCCCTCGTCAGCGACCGGCGCGCCGCCTGGCGGTCGAAGCGCGCGCACCGCGTGGGCGGCGGGAGTGGCGAGGGTGTCAGCAGCCAGGCAGCCAGCCAGGCAGCCAGCCAGCCGGGCCGTCCTCGCCAAACACGCGCAGCTATTGAGTCAACACGGCCAAGCAAAACACTTGCGAGCCGTGGAGGGAGAGACTCTGCGTTCGTTCTACTCGGCCTACTCTGGTCCTTCCTGGTTCTTTCCCCAAGCAGCCCGAGAGTCGCTTTCGTCGCGCTGTCCCTCTCGCACTTGGTGTGGCGTCAGAGAGGTGTCAGAGAGAGACGAAAACGACTCTCGGGCTGCCGAAAAGCAGCAATTTCAAAAATGACGACGCGACGCTCGTGTGGCGTCAGCGGGCCACAGCGCGCGTCACGGGCCGAGCGAGCGCGCCGAGCGGGGGGTCGGGGTCATCCATGAAAGATGTAACGGTAAATAATCAAACTCCGGCACAGCCGTTCTTTTTTCGACATTTATTTAAGCCGCCTCTCCCGGTTTACACCAGCAGGTCTCTCTCTCTCTCTCTCTCTCTCTCTCTCTCTCTCTCTCTCTCTCTCTCTCTCTCTCTCGGCCGCAATGAAACCACAAAAATTGGGCGAGGGATACAGGATGGTGGCGGCGGCAGAGGGTTGGAATGAGCTGGGGAAAAGGAGAGGGGGGAAGGGGGACACATACGCCCATGCGGCCGCGCTGAATAATGCAGGCAACAGCAGAGATAAAAACAAGTGTTTATGAAGATGAGGCTGCCCACCTCGTCCCCCCCTCCCTCCCGCCACCGCCACCTCCGGGATGGGAAGAGGACGACGCGGGGTGTCCTGCCGCCGGTCGTTGGGGAGGCACGGGGGTGGTTTGGGAAGCGAGCGTATTAGACACACACACACGCTCACACACACACACACACACACACACACACAACACACACACACACACGCACGCACGTGTGGATGGTAGGCGCACGCCCGTTCACATTCACGCACAGCGCTCACGCACACGTACTCAACCCAGCGCATGGACAGCGGTGCGCCCGCTTTCCGGGGATCAACTGGGGAATGATACTGCGTGTGTGTGCGTGTGTGTGTGTGTGTGTGTGTGTGTGTGTGGTCCTGCACTTACAGTGTGTCCAGCGCGCCTGAAAATGGCAGTAAAAGACTTTGACCTCGGTCCGAAATCCCTTTAACGACACACATGTGCAGCCTGTCCCCCCCAACACACAGACGCTGTGGTAAAAAACAACAACAACAAAACAAACCCCGCCGCGCACAGCGGCCAGCCACCATCGGCATTTTCATAGTGTAGGTACGCCGCCGTCGCACACACAAAAACAGGAAAAATTCGCGGCTATTCTCTGTGTTGTAGTTCATCGGGGTAGTCCTGTCCTGCTTGCTGTTGCTGTTGTATTCATCTGACGGTAGTTAAGTACCGCGTGGCGTGGCGGGGCAGGGTGGGGCGGAGCGGGGCGGGGCGGGGCGGGGCGGGGAGCACGAATTCCCAGCAGGTCCCACCGTGATAAGCCCAGGCAATAATACCCTGCGTCCATTCAAACGTGCACAAGGGGCAGGCCGGCGGGCCACGCCACGGGTTGGCGTGGCTTGGCCGAGCCAGAGATCAACAAAAACAAGAGCAAAAGGCGAAACGTCTGGATGGCTGGCTGCATACCTTGCAGCGTAGGCGTCCGAGATCAACAAAAACAAAAGCTGACTGACTGGCTGACTGCCTTGCAGTGTAGGCGTCCGAGAGAGAGATCAACAAAAACAAAAGGCGGAACGTCTCGCTGCACACCTTGCAGTGTAGGCGGCATGAAGCGCACCAGGAATGCCCCGGCCCGGCCGAAGGGCCCGAAGGGTCAAGTTGTATGACTTCCCGGCCTGCACGGCCTGCACTGCCTGCACCTGCACTGCAAGCTGCAGAGGGGCCGGGGGCGGCCCGGGGCGGTCGGCGGGGCAGCAGGGGCCGCGCTCGCACGGAAGCCGTACGGGCGGCGGCTTAACTGTCTGGCCGCCCCTTGCGCCACACAGTGGGCCAGAAGGAGGCGGCCAAAATCCCGGACGCGGACCATTTACCGTCTCTGGAGCTCAAAGTGCGTCCGGGATTCTGACCACCTCCACTGGTCTTCTGGAAGAGTCCTGAGCTGCCATCGCGCCATATTTTCACCTCGTGCGTCGGTTTCGTGGGATTGCAGTGTCGTGGAACTCGGCACCATCACCCGAGGCATCTTTCCCGGAGTCCCGGCATCGATTTCGGTTCCCACCGCGCATCATGAAACGGTCGCGGCCACGCCATCGATTTTGCCATTAAATGTGTGTGGGTAGCCGTCGGAGTGTGTGTGGGTGAGTGTATGTGAGAGTGCGTGTGAGAGTGTGTGTCAAATAATGCAAGAGGCGGTCACTAAATTAAACGGTACCTGCTGTGTCGATATTCCCGGCGTGCTGCGACGAACGGAGACGACGGGAGCCCATTGAGGACTTACCTGCAAACGAGGAGGAAATTGGATTAGACAAGGACAACGCATGTGGAGGCTCTCACTCAGCAGCCGACGCACAGTGGGTCAGAAGACCGGCGGAGGCGGCTAAACTTCTAAACGCGTTTTGAGCTCCAGAGTCGCTTAATGGGACTCGAACAGAACGTGTGACCCCACCAACGGATTGCTCTCCGAACGAGCAATCCATTGGTGGGGTCACACGCTCAGTTCGAGTCCCGTTGGTCTGGAGCTCAAAACGCGTCTCGAGTTTCGGCCGCCTCCACCGGTCTTCTGGTCCACTGTACCACGGTAGCAGGCAGCGCGCGGCGCCGCGGCGCTGTTTTGCCCGCCACGCCCAAACCTGTTGCCGGCGCGTTCCGTTTTCTTAGTTTGTTTGCACGACCTCATGCAAAAGTACTGAGCCCCCCCGGGGGCCCCGCGGGGGGGCGGGGGGAAGATTTCACACCGCGGCCGGGGCGAAAGGAAAGGGAGCAGAGCCAGAAAGACTCGCGGAACGTCGAGCGAATCACTGTCTCGAACCCAAGTCACTTCCACAAAAGATTTTTTTTTGTCGTATACTATTTTAATCCTGCTGAGTCAGCAACATAGCTGGGAACGATGATAACAAAAATAGGCCGAGGCGGCCGCGCGGTCGGATTGCTAACCGAAGGTGATGGCCCGCCCCGCCCCGCTCCGCCCCGCTCCGCTCCGCCCCGCCCCGCCCCGCCCCGCCCCGCCCCGACGAAGGGAGCCAAGCGAAGCGGAGCGCTCCGTTCATAAATTGGCTTCGGAAGCCTTATATCAACTCCGTCCATTGCAAAAGAAGTGAAAGACCCGTTCTTCCGCTTGCCACGGCTTGGCTGGCAAAAGCTATTCAGCGCATTCACTGCGACGCACCGTGTGTGTGTGTGTGTGTGTGTGTGTGTGTGTGTGTGTGTGTGTGTGTGTGTGTGTGTGTGTGTCGGTGAGCCAGTGCGTGCGTCCGTGTGCGCACGCGTTGTCTGCGCACCACTCCTGCAGTCGTGAATCTTTTCCAGG